TCAGTGAGTCAAGTATGTCGATGGAGTTCGTGTACTTGTTGAGCACGTACAGTGTGTAGTGTTTATCTGTGTTGTGAGGTATCATAATCTGCAATGTTTGGAGACAGAGTGAGTTAAAGTTCATTCTTGTCAGGAGAATTAAATGACATGTGAATGTGCAATCTGTAGGAAGAATGAGTTATGTTTCTATATTTCTATTAACTCACCAAATTTTTTCTTTAAAAGTTCCTTCCCTGTTATAAGGGGTGCAAACTCTTTCAATGCTTCTTCCTCATTGAATTCTGCTAGTCCTCCTTCTCCAATTTTAACACCGAGCACGAGCTGCGACCAAAAAGTTTTCTACTTTTTATTTCAATCTTTGTATTCACTGAAATGATGCAAGTGCTTTTGTCAAATTGGATTTCATATGTTTGCAAATTCTGTGGGAAGTATGGCTTTATCGGTTGTGTTGTATTGTTGCTGCGATGTCCATTCGTCGAACATTGCGTTTGCGATGGAGCCCTCCATCTGTCCACCATATCCTTTCTTTAGCTGTTCCATTATTTGTTTTCCTGTAATCCAATCGGGTCGCGTCGAGCTAATATATATGTTTAGACTAGAAGAAGAAAAAGTTTATACATTAGTTAGGTTGGTTTAAAAAGGGGCAACATTTGTTTGTTTTTTAGTTTATGCAAGAGAAAGTACTTACTCTCCGCATTCGTCCTGTCCTTCTTTGCTGAATAGGTATTCATGGAGTGCTCTGGCTTTGTTCATGAATTTGAAATCTCCTGGGACAAATGTAGGAATCATGATTTCTCCAAGGAGCCTTCTTGAAGGCTTTACCGGCCTTTTCTTGACCGAGATTTTCTTGTCTGAGCTGTTCTCAGATGATTGAGCCATTGAATCTTCTCCTGATTCTTGCTGCAAGATTGTCAGATACGGCATGGCATCTTTGTTGAATTCATAGCTTTCATGGTCATTCAACCATGTTTTGATTACATCGAACTCATAGCCCATCTTTACATACACGTTGTATTCTTCTAGTTGTAGCGGGTTGAGGCTTGAAAGAAATTCATCAACATCTTTTGCATTTAATTTTCAACTTTCTTTTATGCACCATGCTGGTATGAGACAGTACATGGTTGATTTATAGAATGCTCTTTGCACTTCACTTAAATACTTTGAGTATGGCTTTATAGAATGCTTCATGTGCTTCACTTATATCATTTGAAGTTTGGATTGCCTATTTCTCTTCACATAGAAAACCGCCATTTGTAGAATGTTCTTTTGATTCACTTATATTTGTTAGAGCGTGGGCATATCTTTTGTTGGAAGAATTAAGCTCTCTTGCTCCACTTATATCTATTTAGAGAGATGGCAGGAATTGGTCATTCACATGATTAGTCATAAAATCCTACATAAAACTTGTAGATCACTGAATATGATATGTTTGATTCATTGCAATAGTTTTGCGATATAGACATGATAATATGTGAGAGGTTCTAGTAAATGGTTGTGTTTAGTAAGAATATTGGTGTTAAGGTTTGTGATTCCCGAAGCATGCACGTATGGTCTCCTAACTATGTAACCAAATTGGCGCACATTGTATTTTGATTGTTTATCTTTGCGTGAAGGTCGGGGGCGCGCGATGGTTAAATCCTACCAACCTCCCCCCTAGGAGCATGCGTAGTAGTACTTTGCTTCGAGGGCTAATGAACTTTTGCAATAAGTATATGAGTTCTTTATGACTAATATGAGTCCATGGATTATATGCACTCTTACCTTTTCGCAATTTGCTAGCCTCTACGGTACCGTGCATTGCCCTTTCTCACCTTGAGAGTTGGTGCAGACTTCGCTGGTGCATCCAAACCACGTGATACGATACGCTCTATCACACATAAGCCTCCTTATATCTTCCTCAAAACAGCCACCATACCTACCTATTATGGCATTTCCATAGCCATTCCGAGATATATTGCCATGCAACTTCCATCATCATCATATACATGACTTGAGCATTCATTCTCATATTGCTTTGCATGATCGTAAGATAGCTAGCATGATGTTTTCATGGCTTGTCCGTTTTTTATATCTTTGCTATGCTATATCATTGCACATCCTGGTACACTGCCAGAGGCATTCATATAGAGTCATATTTTGTTCTAGTATCGAGTTGTAATATTGAGTTGTAAGTAAAAATAAAAGTGTGATGATCATCATTATTAGATCATTGTCCCATGTGAGGAAAGGATGATGGAAGCTATGATTCCCTCACAAGTTGGGATGAGTCTCCTGACTTTATGAAAAATAAAAGAGGCCAAAGAAGCCCAAATAAAAAAAAGAGGCCAAAGAAGCCCACCAAAAAAATAAAAAAAATATATAAAAAAGAGAAAATAAAAAAAATGGGAGAAAAAGAGAGAAGGGGCAATTCTACTATCCTTTTACCATACTTGTGCTTCAAAGTAGCACCATGTTCTTCATAGAGAAAGTCTCCTATGCTTTCACTTTCATATACTAGTGGGAATTTTTCATTATAGAACTTGGGTTGTATATTCCGATGATGGGCTTCCTCAAATGCTCGAGGTTATCATGAGCAAGCAAGTTGGATGCACACACACTTAGTTTCAGTTTGAGCTTTCATACACTTATAGCTCCAGTGCATCCGTTGCATGGCAATCCCTACTCCTCGCATTGACATCAATTGATGGGCATCTCCATAGCCTGTTGATTAGCCGCGTCGATGTGAGACTTTCTCCCTTTCTGTCTTCTCCATACAACCTCCACCATCATACTCTATTCCATCTGTAGTGCTATATCCATGGCTTGCGCTCATGTATTGCGTGAGGGTTGAAAAAGCTGAAGCGCGTTAAAAAGTACGAACCAATTGCTTGGCTGACACCGGGATGGGCATGAGGGGTACCTTGTGTTAAGAAAAGGGAGCATAAAAGACTATATGATTTTGTAGGGATAACTTTCTTTAGCATTGATATTTTGAAACACATGATTGTTTGTTGGGATGCCCGAGTATTAATTTCTTTTATGTCAAATGATAGACTATTACTTTGAATCACTCGTGTCTTAATATTCATGCCATGATTAGATTACATGATCAAGATTATGCTAGGTAACATTCCACATCAAAAATTATCTTTTTTATCATTTACCTACTCGAGGACGAGCAAGAATTAAGCTTGGGGATCCTGATACGTCTCCATCGTATCTATAATTTTTGATTCTTCCATGCCAATATTCTACAAATTTTAGATACTTTTGGCAACTTTTTATACTATTTTTGGGACTAACATATTGATCCAGTGCCCAGTGCCAGTTCCTGTTTGTTGCATGTTTTTTGTTTCGCGGAAAATCCATATCAAACGGAGTCCGAACGGGATAAAAACGGACGGAGATTTTTTTTGGAATATTTATGAATTTCGGGAAGAAGAATCAACGTGAGACGATGATGGGGGGCCCACGAGGCAGGGGGCGTGCCCCAGGGGGGTGGGCGCGCCCCTGACCCTCATGGACACCCCGTAAGGCGGTTGTTGCCCTTCTTTCGCCACAAGAAAGCTAATGTCCGGAGAAAAATCATGTTCAAAGTTTCAATCCAATCGGAGTTATGGATCGCCGGGAATAGAAGAAACGGTGAAAGGGCAGAATTAGGAACGCAGAAACAGAGAGAGACTAAGAGACAGATCCAATCTCGGAGGGGCTCTCGCCCCTCCCATACCATGGAGACCATGGACCAGAGGGGAAACCCTTCTCCAATCTAAGCAGATGGTCAAGGAAGAAGAAGAAGAAGAAGGGGGGCTTTCTCCCCTCTCTCCCGGTGGCGCCGGAACGCCGCCGGCGCCATCATCATCACCGTGATCTACAGCAACACCTCCATCATCTTCACCAACATCTCCATCACCTCCCCCCATCTATCTACAGCGGTCCAATCTCCCGCCACCCGCTATACCCTCTACTTGAACATGGTGCTTTATGCTTCATATTATTATTCAATGATGTGTTGCCATCTGATACGTCTCCAATGTATCTATAATTTATGAAGCATTCATGCTATTTTATTATCCGTTTTGAATGATTACGGGCTTTATTATACACTTTTATATTACTTTTGGGACTAACCTATTAACCAGAGGCCCAGCTCATATTGTTGTTTTATTGCCTGTTTCAGTATTTCAAAGAAAAGGAATATCAAACGGAGTCCAAACGGAATGAAACCTTCGGGAGCGTGATTTTTGGAAAGGATATGATCCGACAGACTTGGAGTTCAAGTCAGGGAAGGCTCGAGGAAGCTAGGAGTTAGGGAAGTATGATGAATCTTGCATTCTTTACAAACTATACTGTTTTGGCAGATTGCTGTTATGTTTGCATATGCTTGCTTGTTTAATGATTCTATTTGAGGATAGGAGTATTACATATCATAACTTCATAAGGCAGTACCATCTTTTCGAGATCTTGCTTCCTTTTGGGGAATTCAAAATTAAGCTTCTGATGATCAAATAAAAAGAGCCTCATGAATCATGATGAGAGACGAGTTCTTCAAACTTTGACAGTAGAAGCTTATGTTCATTAGTCAAGTTTTTCTTTTTGACCATATAACAATGTCGCCCGTTTTAAAAGCAACAGGATTAGGATATGTGCAAGTCATGTGATTTGCAGGACGATGAACTGGTGCAGCCGTGCAGGCCACTTTTTTTTAACACTTCTTTTCAATTGCACATTATTTAGCGCGCCAATGGTAGTAATTTAGTGAGGATGCTAGACGTTTGACAAAGTCGTCATCAAAAGTGCTGCGCCGGGTGATTCCCAAAAAAAAGTGCTGACCATGTTTCAAATATGAAAGTGGACTTAGACAAAAGAATGCAAGAAAACTGTCCTACATGTGATGTGTGTCCCCTTTCGTGGCTCGCGTCAGAACCAGTTGCGGTCACTGGCATCTTCTTAGCACTGGCCAGTCGTATAATCTTCACGCCATGCGCGTCTAATCCCCGCTCCGCTCATCCACGATCCACGATATGATAATCCCGCTCTTAGTATTGCTCTTGGCTTTCGTGCTTCGATTGCATCCGGTGGCTAGCACGGAAGATTTGGCTACATGCTCGCCCAATGCATGCGGCAACCTGATCGTGGCTTACCCGTTTTGGTTGGAGGATGAAGGTCAGCCGCCATGCGGGTCCCCGTCCTTCCAGATCAACTGCAACGGCGGCCAAGCATTCCTCAGTCGCTCCTTGTTCGGGGGCTACCAGGTCCTTGAAATCTTCACCGAGAACTCCTCATTCATCGCCGTGGACAACAACCTGCCGCTCGACGACGGCTGTCCGCCGTGGTGGTTCAATATCTCGCTGGGTCTCGGGCTGGGGCCGTACACCATCAGCAAGAAGAACAGCGAGGTTGTCGTCCTCTACAACTGCACCAAGCAGCAGCAGCAGGTGGCGCCGCCGGGGTTCAGCCGCATGGGTTGCGCCGACGAGTCCTTCTACCGCCTTGGTGGGGCGTATGGCGACCACCAGCGTGAACAAAGCGGGCTCCCTCCATCGTGTCGTGTCGCAGTGGTTCCGGTCCTTGGTTTCGCTGATGGCAGCGACTATGTCCCCAGCATGAGACAGGGGTTTCTTCTCGAGTGGTTGGTGGCGTCAGGCGATTGCACCAAGTGCGTGACAAGCGGCGGGCAGTGCAGCTATGCCAACGACGGCACCGGGTTTTCCTGCAATTGCTCCGACGGCGTGCCACCAATAGATTGCGGTGAGTTCACCGAACTCGACTCTGCACCCTAGTTAATTCTTTCTTCTTTAAGACGAACGAAAGAGTAATTTCTAGGACGAACTAGGCATCACTTTTATTTACACACTGATGAAGCCATCGTTTGGCTTTTCGGTGACCCATCGTCACTGCAGTATCTTTTAGAGTAAATTTCAGTTTTTACCCTTCTACTTCGTAATTTTTTCGCTAATTACCCCACTTAGCAGCTTTTCATCCAGATTACTCCACTTAGAGATTTTTTTTGCTAGTTTGTGAAGAAGTCAAATCAAAGAAAGGCCAAACATCGCAGCCGGTGGTTAAGCTTCTCCCCTAGTTCTTGAGTTGTTTTGGCCAAACTAGTGCAAGCTAGTATGTTAGGTGAGATTCCGCCGGTCCATTGCATTCTAGGCATGCATGGCATTGAACTACACCTTCAGTATTTTTTTCCTAGATCACATTCTCTTTGAGTCAAGTCAATGGCTCACAATTTAAGAGTCGGTGTTTACTTATATACCCAATTGGTGCCATTGACTTTTTTCAAAAAGGATTATTACCGCGGCCTCTCACACATCCATCTTTATTACATTATTCAACATCTTACAAAATAAATAAATAGATCAACCCAAAGCCATCTTTCTGGCAAAAACTGTCGCCCTAACTACAAGATTGATGACGTGCCCTGACCGCGCGCCACGCACACCAAGAAATCCGGTGGCCTCATCAAGCCCCCCGCCGGCGAGCCGAGAGTACCAACCGGTCTAGCACACCCTCAGCATGCACCGCATGCGCACGCTGTAGAATCCGTCGCCGCCTTCTTCCGCAATCCCATCTTCAGGAGTAATTAATGCATTTATCTTGGCAGACCCTTCTGCCATTGACGCGACCACGACGCCGAATAGCGCATGCCTCCTACAAACACCCATCGAACAGTATCCACCGCCTAGACCCCGCTCCATCTTGCCGCCAAGACTCGCCGTTGTCGATACTGTAGATGGCACGCCGCTCCACTTTGTGCCCAACCACCAAGCTAAACACTTGTCCCTCGAGCTAGTGTACAACCCCAAATATGATGCCCCCATGGGGGTGACAATGCAGGAACCTCGCCATCATCATATATTGAAAGCCTAAATCTCGGGTTTCCCCCGGGGCACACGGGAAACACAGATCGTCCCACAACGCCTTCAATAAGGTAACGACACCCGCTGGCACCACCGTTGACGGTTTTGGCCGAGGGCGAACCAAGCTTTCGCTGGCAAATTCATGTTCATCTCCGGCCGGACCACCAGATCGACCTCCTCCATCATCTAGCACACCCATGGGTGACATCAGCCACCGGGAAACTACACGACTGGAGCCGCCCCACCTCCCTGCCTGGGTGAACCATCGACGGCAGAGGGGCCCTTATCGCTGCACCGCCGAAGCACATGTCCGGGACACCTGAGTGAATCTCCACCGCAACCACATCCCTAAGGGCATCTCCAGCCGTTGGCCCCCCAGGGGCGTCTAAAAGCGCCGCCTGGGGGTGAGCCGGCGCAAAGAAAGGCCCTGGGGGCGAGTCGTCGCCCAGCCGTCGGCCCCCAGGGCCGCCCCCAGGCGAGTGTTTTCCTTTAAAAAAAGGCCGTTCGGCGAAGTTATGATAAAAGAGTAGTTAAATTTCGGCTAAACATGGTAAATTTCGGCGAAATTCGCGCATTTTCATTACATTAAGCTAATCTAAAAAAGAAAGGGGCTGAAGTCGTCGCCGCCGTCACCGCCATCGTCGTCGTCGGCCTTCTCCTCCTTGACGCGGGCGCCCCGGCTGGACCCGGCGTCGCCATGGTGGACTGGCGACGGCGCGTCGTCGTCGTCGCTGTCGCATAGGACGACGACCCCGTCTTCGTCGCGGCCGCGTCGGCGCTCCTCGAAGCGGCGCAGGGCGGCGCGCTGGCGCTCCTTCGCCTTGTCCCGGCGCGCCTTCTCCATCGCAATGGAGTCCCGGCGCGCCCATTCTAGGGCCGCGTCGTCGTCGACGAACTCCGCCTTCGCCGGCACCAGCCCCGGCTCCGTCTTCACCGGCGCCAGTCCCGGCTCCGTCTTCACCGGCGCCAGCCCCGGCTCCGTCTTTGGCTTGACGAAGCGCGGAGGAGCCGACGAGGAGGAGGCACGCCGGCCGCCCTCGTTGATGACGATGCCGGCGCTGCGAGTGCGCCGGCCGAGCGGGGACTCCGCCGCGGGCTCGGCCTTGACGCCGAGCAGGGCCGGAGTGCCGGAGGAGTGCGACGAGGATCGGGAGGAGGAAGAGGAGGAGGAGGACCCGAACCGCCTTGGCGCCCATGGCCCGACGCGTCGGTGCTGCGCCGGGGGGTACGCCAACGGCGGTTCGTTGCCGCCCTCGAGGTGCGTGAGCACGCTCTCGAGTATGCGGCCGGTGGCGCCCCACCAGAGGCGGCGCCCCTCGCTATTCTGCCGCCCGCCGACCACCGGCGCGCCGTTGGTGGACGCCAATCGCTGCTGCTGGCGGCGCTCGAAATACGCCGCCCAGGCCGCGTGGTTGTCGGCGGCGTACTGGGGAGGGAGCGTTGGGCGCCTTGCCATTGATTCCCCGCGGGAACCGAGGCCGTTGGGGGGAGACGAGGCGCCGAGTCGCTGACGCGGCTGGCCCGCGGCTTCTTCGCGCCAAAACAACTCGCCCCGGCGCCCCAGGGCGCCCCCCAGCGCGCCGGGTTCGGGCTGGGTCCGCCGGCGCTGTTTTCAGCCCAAGCCGGCGAAAATCGGGCTCCTGGGGGCGCGACTGGGCCGTTTTTTCGGCGCTGGCGCGAAAAAATCGCCTGGGGAGGCCTTCTTGGGGGCGCGGCTGGAGATGCCCTAAGTCACGGCAAAGGAAGGCCCCGCCGCGGCTATCATCCCGTGTCTGGGCTTTGCCCCGCGGAGCTCCGGCGGCAGCGAAGAGAGGGGCGGCGGCAGCTCGAAGCCCTAGCTCATATCGAAAAGGAGGGGATTGGGAGGGAGGCGGCGGCTCCCTCGGTGGCATTGACTAGTAGACATTCTTCATAGGCACGCGGTATCAGCAATGGGAGGACCCCAATGGTCGGGTCCTCCCGACCAACTCTCCCCTTGGAAGATAGAGTACTCTAAATGCTGTACATCTTCATCGGTAAATAAACTCTACAATCAGTAGCACTTGGCCACTTGAAGTGGCCCACTTGCCTCAAGCCTCAGCTGCTTACATTATAGTAAATTTCAGAACTTGATGCCCTCGCCGGCAGCTGTTTGCATTATTAAAACTTCCATAATATATACTTTCAAGTGGGTACCCAAAACTAGTGACAGAACAAGTAGCTCAGACTAGTTTGATGGGAACCAAAAACTAGTGTGCTTCTTTTCTGATCAACCATCATTAGTTATGTTACTTTCGGAATTGCATAAATACATATTAATATGCTATTTCCAGATTTTTTGACAAGTTGTGTTGTTGGTACATGATCTTAGATAACATCAGTATTGATGTAAAATCAACTTTTGGCTCTAGTGTCTTGGTGGGTCATCAGTTTGTGATGTTAGATCAGTCTGTGACACTAAAATAAGATTGCCAGAGCTATACTCCACTTAGGTTTGCCAGCGCTCAGAATGAGTGTCTTCATGATAACAAGTTACATATACAGGATGGTAACTGGCAGAGTAGGATTTTCCAAAATTATGTGGGCATATAACTTGCTGTAGTATTGTATCAAACTAGTATTTAAACGAAGTGGGATATGCAGTCAATGCTCTTTACAGTATTGCGTAGAACATTTTTTATGTGTTTATGTATTGAGCCTGTTAATTATTATTTTTGTAAAAAACAATATAATATATTTTATGTTATTGATTTTTAAACTAAATAATATTGTGTGATATTCCAGGTAGCAAGAGAGCTGGCACAAAGATTCTCTTAATAGGTATGCTAGCAGTTGCACCATATTTTCACATGTTATCATTTAAATGTCAATAGTTCCTAAACCATGATTTCTAAGATACCTATTTTTCTGTTAAGAAAGATACATATTTTCTTAGGTTTGACTGTATAATTCGACTGGAACAAATACACTCAGTTTGTGCATAATAAAAGTCAACTAGGATCAATAACCTACATCTTCAAAAAAACAAATCCTACTTTTGCCGCCTTGTACTCTTTCAACCTTTTCAACCCATTCCTATAACCCGTTGGATACTGGGTCGTGAAGCTCCTCATTGCGGGGACAGTGCTTAGTTGAGCGTCAGAGATTCTGGAGGACGTGTTGTTAGCCTTGAAAACCAGCACCATTAGCAACCTCTTCCTCCTGGAGCCGTCCGACCCAGCGCGCTCTTAGACGAAGAGCAGTGGCCTTGGGATGGCGTCATACATCGTGGCAGGAGAGGAGGGATATGCAGATCTGAGTGGTATAGCTCCCAGTGGGGATGGCCAGGAGGTGACCTCTTGGATGGCTTTGGGTGTTTGTAGAGCTCCTGATCAAGCAGGAAGTCTGCAATGGTGGAGCAGCCGTACAGAAGATGAGAAGAGCAACCTGATTGGTGAGGTCCAAGTCCATGTGTAACAAACACCACGTAAGCGTCCCCTTAGGAACCTAACAAACACCACGTACTGACTGTCTGGTAGACTGGAAAGATTATAACAGAACCTGTGGTTTTGTGAAAAAAAAAAGTTGAAAGCATGTGGTCATGTGAAACCATAACCACAGAACCAATTAACTTCAATTTAACACATTCGATGTTCTTAGAGATCTAAATATCCATATTATAACACCTGGTACATCTACTTCTTCAATCTCAGCTTTGACATCAGCAGCTGCAGCGCTACTCTTTGCATGTATTTATGTGCTGATATGGTATATGATGGGGAAAAGGAACTGGTTTCAACTCTCGAAAAAGAATAGCAGCACCACTGAAAGGCATTACGAGGCCATGATAATATCTTATGGATCCCTTGCTCCCAAGAGATTCACTTACTCAGAAGTAATGAAGATAACGTCTTCTCGCAATAAGCAGCTTGGTAAAGGTGGTTATGGTGTGGTCTTCGAAGGAAAGCTACATGATGGTCGTCTTGTTGCTGTGAAATTCTTGCATGATTGCAAAGGAAACGGGGAAGGGTTTGTTAATGAGGTTATGAGCATTGGTAGGACCTCTCATGTCAATATTGTTAGCATGTTTGGATTTTGTTTGGAGGGATCAAAACGAGCTCTTGTATATGAGTACATGTGCAATGGTTCCCTGGATAGATACATTTACTCAGAGAATCCAAAAGAAATTTTAGGATGGGAGAGGCTCTATGCAATAGCTACCGGGATAGCTCGTGGACTGGAATATTTGCACCATAGCTGTAATACACGGATCGTCCATTTTGACATTAAGCCTCAAAATATCCTTCTAGATCAGGATTTTTGCCCAAAAATTGCTGATTTTGGTCTTGCTAAATTGTGTCGTACCAAGGAGAGCAAGCTTTCAATGATTGGTGCTAGAGGAACAATTGGATTCATTGCTCCAGAAGTTCACTCACGAAACTTCGGACTTGTTTCAACAAAGTCAGATGTTTATAGTTATGGAATGATGTTGCTAGAGATGGTTGGAGGAAGGAAAAATGTGAAATCATTGGCTGAAAAATCCAGCGAAAAGTATTTTCCAGATTGGATTTATGACCACTTTGCTCAAGATGATGGATTAGAAGCATGTGAAGTTACAAGTGACATTGAGGAAATTGCAAGAAAGATGACCTTGATTGGCTTGTGGTGCATACAAGTATTACCTGTGTATCGCCCTACTATAACAAAAGTTCTAGAAATGTTCGGCAGAAGCTTAGATGATATGGCCATGCCACCGAAGCAGAAGTTCAGTGGACTACTGTAAGATACTTCTACATCTGTTTGTGTTCCTTTTTTGGTGAAGTTGTTTTTTCTTTAAATACTTTCAGTAACTTGACCTACTTGCTTATCCCTAATTCCAGCGAAAGTGCAGCTCATAATATGAATGTAGAAAGTGCAAGCTCTATGACATCTGAGGAGATAAGGCTTGTGAATTCAGGAAATACACAACAATTTCCACCTCTTTGAGAAGGTAACCTGTAGCAGAGTATGTTTAGAAACTGAACAGGCTCAACTAAGTTTGACTTGTATGATAATCATTAAGGAATTGCTAATGCATAATTGACTAGAAATTCCAATATATAAATTACTCAGTCTTCCAATTTTGTTTGAAGAAACCAAGTAAGAAGCACTTTAAGATTATAGAGAAGGGCCATGTTATGGAAATCTAGCAGTGGTGAAATCAAAAGATTTAGTTTATGTGCAATAGACGTTTATTCCATGTGTTGTGTCTGAATGACCTAGAGTAATGGGTGGCTCTATCTGTAAAGCATGCTTCTCTGATTATAAATAAAACTCAGATAAATGTCTTGTTGAGCTAAAGTTCCATTACGGAAAAGCATTGTCCATGTAAGGAAATAATCACTGCATGACTAGATGGGGGTTATATTGACTAACACATTATGTTTTTTTTTCAGGCTGGTAGTTGGGAAGGGCGTGTCAAACATAAGAGGCACAATGTCATACCTTTGATTCATCTTACATTATGAGTGGCGACAACAAACTTGCATAGCCAGTTATAATAAATGCCGTTGTTGATAACAGTCACAGCAATGTCACAGGCATGCATTATAGTTCTGCAACAAACAAAAATTAGCTTGGAGATGTTAAGGCCAATCATTTTTTTTCTTCGACAGGCACCTAATTAAATGTATGCCATATTTGTACTAGCGCATACCAAGGTTGTACCACTTGCCTGTCACCAGGTGATAATCGAAGCCTCCTATCACTGTATTCCTGGAAGTACTAGCGCACGAATTTTGTGTTCCGCCTTACAAGTTCGAAGAGATAAAAGGATTGGATCTTATGCCAAAGGCAGAGACTTACCAAGACCTTCCAGGCTATAACTTTTTTCGAAGATCAGGGGAACTTTCCCCGGTTCCATTGCATAGAACATGAAACAAAACTGGTCTGTCAAGTCAAGTTACAGATCTTCTGGAGTAAAATTTGCCCTAAAATCTCAATAAACACAATTTAGGATTTAATTGTGGCCCTAAAGTTTTAAATCTGGACACAATTTAAACAAGGGAGTAATCATATGCCAATTCGTAGCAAGCAGAAGCTGAAGGCGGTATACTTACTTGGTTCTCTGCTTCGTAGGTGGTTTCTACTCGAGGAATAGCATTGTGCTTTCACTTCACGTACGTAGAACCTCGCCGGCGAGCACTGCCCCCTACTCCGATTTTACTCTTCCTTTGCTGGCGAGACAAGAGTTTGCGCCGCTTCTCAGGCAACATCGCTACTGTGGCACCCCGACGTTGAGCTAGTTCGAAGGGGTTGAGGCCAGTGACTTTGCTCTGTGCAGGCTACAGTGGCCCCGCAAGCTGTGGCAGCGCCTGCACCGGTGAGGGCGTAGAAAATCGGGGGACCGGCCAGCGGCGGCGGCGGCGTAACGACGTGAATCAACGAGAGGCGTCGGCGCCTCGGCGGGTTTGGGTCATAGGCCTTTGCAAAGGGCCCGCAAGGCCACGTAGTCGACCGAACGACCCAGACAGGATCAGAGCCACATAACGGGCAGCATGGGACCCAAAATTGGCCTGTTCGTTCGGATAGCCCAATCCTACCTATTTCCATAATTGTCTCGAAACAAAACCTTCCCTTTTCCATACTATAATTTGGGAAAAAGATGGGGAAACGCTTACCGTCACCCGGCGGATAGCAACGGCCTTGTCCGTCACCTTCCCTGCATGACATGCGTCCAACTGAGCCCGCATACCGTCCTTCATCAAACATGTTTCTGCAACAGTTGCTATGTTTCTGAAATATATGTGGTGTTGCAATGGTCTATGACTAGTCTATGTTTTGCAACAAAACCTTTGTTGCAGAAATTTTCTGCAACAAGACCTCAGTTGCAAAAAAAACTTAAAAAAATCGGTTGCAATTTTTTTGCAACAAAATAGTTGATGCATAAAATTTCTGCAACAAGACTTATGTTACAGAAATAATTCCGCAACAGGACATGTGTTTCAATAAGTAAGGCGCGCTCGACCACTCGATTTGGCTGATTTGACAGCTCACGACGCGGCTGATCTTTCTAAAAGATCAGCCGTCGGATGCATAGTACGCCCTGGAAACACATTGCTCAATCTTCTGACGCGAGCATCACGTAAATCATGGGGCTAGCTAATCAGCACGCACGTACGAAATCAAACCAACACAACCCGCCGACGTGCCTTCTTCCACGCAATGCAACGAAACACCATGGCCACCCACGATGCATCCCCCGTTGGCACGAGCACTCCTCTCCGTCCTAGCAGCATCCATGCTTATTCCTGCTGCACAACCTGCATGCCGAAAGGTCACCGTTCTCGCTCGGCGGCTGGAAATGATCTCATCCGGCTGGAACTGCGCTAGTATACGCGCCTGCCCCATAGCTCTTCTCCCACCGTGCACATATGGGCATCTGTGGGCATCACCACCGTGAGTCCTACTTGTGGGCATCACCATGTTTGTGATCTTGAACCTAAATATTTTCTATAATTATATTATCTTTTAGATATTGCTTCTGCTTAAGATTATCCGTGTGCATTATAGTCGCCTTTTACAAATTCCCGCCGCTCTCTCCGTCCCAAAATTCTTGTCTTAGACTTGTCTAAATACAGATGTATCAAGTCACTTTTTAGTATTAGATACATTCATATCAAGACAAATTTAAGACAAGAATTTTGGGACGGAGGAAGTACATTACTACACAGTACGCACACATAAGCTGGGTATGCATATGAGTGGCATTAGGTGGATCTCAGACCTTTCAGATGCCATTACAAATTATATGATCTATCTACCTTGCCAAACCTGATATGTTGATGCTGGCTGTGCCGCACCGACCGATCAGGCCAGCATCGTGCGGGAACACTGAGCCTTGAAGACCGCGACATCACTGGTCAGGCACCAGCGTGAGCTCCGAAGCCACTGGTAAGTGTTTTTACGATGTTACTGCATGGGGCGGTAACTAGTTTGGCGCGCAAGATCTGAGGTGTTACTGCATGGGCCTGGTCAGTCACACACCTTGAGGACCGGCCTGAATACATTGGTGCAGGATGGATACGCTCCTCAGCGAGGCGCAATGGGTGGTGGGCAAGGCGCTGGCCCCCATTGCTGATGGCCTGCTGGAGGCTTGGGGTGCCACCAAGAACTTGGGTCTCAACATCGAGGCCATAAGGATGGAGCTGCTACTTGTGAAGGCCACCCTCGAAACTGCCAGCTACAAGCAGCTCGATGGCCCGGCCATGCAAGAGCTCCTGGGGAAGCTGCAAGACTCGGCGCTCTCTGCCGAGGACTTGTTGGACGAGCTGGACTACTTCCGCATCCATGACCAGCTCAATGGCACATACGATGCTGCAGACCAGCATGCCAAGGGCAGCGTCCGGGACCTTGCCCTCAATGTTCATCACGCAGCCAAATCTGTTGGCAAACGGACATTTGTATCTTCATGCTACTGGTCTGCTGCTAATCCTACAGGTGATTCTGGAGGAGATGCAGAATGGCAGGCAAGCTGTTGTCCTTGGCCACGTGCCAGGCAGAGGCCACCCAGCAATTCATCCTCAACGTCAAATGCCAATCAGGAGGTTAGTGTATGCATGTCCAAGCTCAATAAACTTGTCCCTTGCTCATCTTCCCCACATGCTCATGATGATCATTCTTTCCAGCCAACTCTTTGTGGCGCGTCAAAGAGAGAAACACCAATGCTGGGTTTTAATAGGGTTGATTTCTCTGAAAGGATGAGGTACATTGTAGAGCAATTGCAGCATGTGCGTAAGGAGGTGACCGTATAATTATCCCAGATATTGCCTAGACACTAGGGAAAAGCTTATAGGCACATGCTTACTAGTAGCGAGGGTTTATAACCCTCGCTACTGCTACTTACTAGTAGCGCGGGTTTTTACCCCTCGCTACTACTAAGTTGATAGTAGTAGCGCGGGTTTTTAACCCTCGCTACTACTAAGCTGTCTCTACCGTGCCCCCCGAGACATGCCATAGTAGTAGCGAGGGGTATAAACCCGTGCTACTACTAAGTTGATAGTAGTAGCGCGGTTTTATACCCCTCGCTACTACTAAGTACGAGGTAGGTGAAGTCCCCATATCCTCAGCCGAATCCCTCCTCTCTCCCTCACTCTCCCCCCTCTCTCCATAGGCTCTCCCATGGTGTTGCACCATTCCTCCTCCATGGCACCCAACGAGTTCACCTCCTCGCGCCGCGTGCCTCCTCCTCCATGGCACCAAAAGAGGGAGGCCGGCTCGCGCCGCCGGCCTCCCGGAGCTTGCCGGTCTTCCCCACATCTACATGCTACCACGTCGGACCACCTCACCACCGGCGACGAGCCCCAGTGCGCCCTCCATCTCATTCCTTTCTTCCTTGTTTCTCTTTTTCCCTCTCCATGTCCCTCCGATTTTACTCACCTCCCATGCCCATGCCTGCGCAGGTCGTCGACATGGCCAACGAGGAGCTCTCTGCCTTGGCCGTGAAGAGGACCCTCACACCGTCGTCTTGCTCTTCTCTGCACTGGATCCGGTCCCTCTACAACAGTCGTCGCTGGATCTGGTCTCCGCTGCCCGTCCGCACCTCCGGCGACCCTTGTCATCACTAGATCGAACCATTGACACCATTGACAGCACGCACAGGGTCGAGATATTTTTTTTGGTTTTTGAAATTAATAGTAGTAGCGCGGGTCACAGTCACGCGCTACAGATAGTTAGTAGTAGCGCGTGTCAAAGCCGCGCTACTACTACCACACGTACTAGTAGCGCGGGATGCCTCGCGCTACTACTACTAGTTAGCTATAGCGCCGTAGTAGTAGCGCAGGCATCCGCGCTACTATTAGCTTTTACCCCACGCTACTACTAGGCTTTTTCCTAGTAGTGAGAGTCAGTCCCATCACCACCTGTCAAAGTATAGAGCCAAACTTGTATGAAAGGGACCATGTCGTTGATACCATCATACATGATATGACCAACGATAAATACCTTAGCAATGATCTAATTGTGGTTCCAATTGTCGGTCCAGGGGGAATTGGGAAGACAACTATGATACAACAGATACATAGAAACCAACAAGTTCAAAATCATTTTCAAGTTGTTATTTGGGTGTGTGTGTCGCTCAAGTTCAATTTCAATAAGCTGCTTGAGGAGATTAAAACATCTATCCTGCAAGTTGAAGGGGGAATATATGGTACAGTCGAAGAGCTGATTGAACATAGATTAAAAGCTAAAAGATATTTGCTTGTACTAGATGATATATGGCAGGTTAGTAATGAGGATGACTGGAAAAGGTTATTGCTGTCGCTCAAAACATCCCAAGAAAAGGGTGGCATTACTATAGTCACGACTCAGTTTGCAGCAATAGCAAAAATGGTTGGAACAACCGACCATGCGATAGGATTGGAAGGTTTAGAATCTAAACATATTAGAGAGTTGTTCCATGCATTTGTATTTGGCGATGACCAATGCAAAAAGGATCACAATTTTCTGCTTGAGACCGGAGATAAGATAATAGTAAACTGAAGAGATCCCTGCTTGCAGCAAAAACTGTTCGTAGATTATTGAGAAACAACCTTAATTTGTGTCACTGGATAAGGGTCCTAGAAAATAAAGAATGGGAGAGACAAAATGTTGCCAGTGACATTATGCTTGCCTTGAAGCTTAGCTATGACCATCTTCCATTCCATCAACAATAATGTTTCTATTATTCTGCACTGTTTCCTGAAGATCATAAGTATAGTTCCACCGACCTAATCAATTTGTGGATAGGACTAGATATTTTACCATCTGGCGGTCAGAACCAAACAATGGAATATATTGGTTTGAGCAATTTAAGTGATCTGGTGACACGTGGATTTTTCAGAGAAGAGAAAGATGATGGTCATGCATGTTATGTTATGCATGATCTGCTACATGATTTAGCACTTCAAGTTGCATCTCATGAATGTCTTACTATACATCATTCTAATGTGGGTTCATTACAAATTCAGCCATCCATCTGTCACTTGTCTATAATCATAGATGAAGGTGATGCAGTGTCTCATGAAAATTTGAAGAGGCAACTGAGAAAACTAAAGACAAGAGTGAATGTTAAACAATTGCATACTTTGATGTTATTTGGAGAAATGGATGAAAGCTTTGCTAACATTTTGGCTGATTTGTTTAGGGAAGCAAATGCTCTTCGTGTTCATTATTTGGTTGACATGTCATCTTGTGTGGAGTCCATTTTACATTAGTTTCGGTCACTTGTCCATCTACGATACCTATGTCTTGGGAAAAAGGGGGAGATAGAATTACCACTTGCCACTTCACTTGCTCATAGCTTTAGCCAAAAGGACAAGAAAGGTATACCAATTCCCATTTCTAGATTTTATCATTTAAAGATTCTGGATCTAGGACGGTGGTACTGCTGTTGTGATTTGCCAAAAGACTTGACCAACCTTGCAAAGTTGTGCCGTTTTTATACCCCAAGTGAGGAGGCGCGTAGTTTGTATGACCTAAGTGATGAGATGCATTCTCAAATTTGTAATGTGGAGAAACTCAGATTCTTAGAAGAGTTAAAGGTATTTAGAGTCAGCAAAGAAAGTGAAGGATTTGAACCAAAGCAACTAGAGCATTTGGCTGAACTAAGGGAGCTTGGCATCTATAACCTTGAGAATATAAACAAGGAAGAAGAAGCCACCAAAGCAAATCTAGGAGAGAAAAACTACTTGGAGAGCTTAACATTAAATTGGTATAGTGAGCGGTCTAATATTGAGCCTGATGTCGAACATTCTTGAGAGCCTTCAACCACATAGATATCTTCAAGAGTTGTGCACTAAAGCGCATGGAGGGTCTTCTTGTCCAACATGGTTGGGTGATAAGCTTGCTATTGAGGCTCTTCAATCTCTTCATCTCTCTGGTGTTTCTTGGGAATATCTCCCTCCTTTAGGGAAGATGTGGAGTCTTGTTAAAGTAACATTGCATCATATTGCCACAATCAAGGAGTTTGTTATAGAGAAAAGCCTTTGCAGGCTAATAAGGCTTGAGCTTGTTGGCTTGGGAAGTTTAGGAAAATGGGTACCATCATAGGACACTCATCATATGTTTCCTTTTTTGCAAGCACTGGTTATTAGAGATTTCCCTAAGCTGTTGGAGTTGCCATTTGCAAATCAGAGTTTTTTCGCACAAGATCAAGACTAGAACATTGATTGGTTCCCCAGACTGCAAGAGCTTCATGTAGAGAAGTGTCCAGAATTTTTGTTAGTGGCTCATATCCCCTGGACTGAAACTCTGCGCAATGTGAACATAAGTGATGTAAAGCTACTAGAAAAGTTTGAGTACTCAACATCATCCTACAGTGGATTTGAAATTGAAATTATTGGAAAGGATGATCTGGAGAGCTTAGATCAGGTGCTAGCATTCAGTAACCTGGCAGTTCTCGAGAAGCTGAGACTTAGCAAGTTCCCACCTATGGATTTGAAGCACCTTCTAATGCTAACCTCATTGAAGAAATTGGTTGTAGATTGTTTAGATGGTGTTGTTGGGCGAGTAGGAGATGCGTGTGATGTGGAATGGCAGCACCGTGTTGAGCATCTGGTGGTCCAGAAATCAAGTGGGGAGGAATTAACAGAGCTCCTCACCCACCTCCCAACGCTCTCCAATCTGGGAATCTATAGGTGTGAAAAGATAACACAGCTGTCAGTGGAGGTAGATGTGCATCAAACAACAGTAGTAGCAGCAGCATCAGAGGTGGAGCAGGAAAAAGTAGAAGATGGGATGCTACTCTTACCGGCCAATCTCTCTGGCTCACTACGGGTGTTGGTCATTGAGGATTGTCAAGAGCTGCTCCTGGCGAACCCTTCCTCAATTTTTCTTTCTGCCAAAATACGAGAGTTTCAAGCCCTGCAATCCCTCCAGATCTTACAAATTGCAAGATGCCCCAACTCTCTGTTGGCTCTCCTTCATGCCGCCCTTTCCCATCCTTCCTGCAAAACCTCGATATTGTCAGTGTGGAAGGCATGGGGACGTTGGAGCCACTCTCAAACCTCACCTCTCTCACCCGATTATATTTGGCGGACTGCGGAGAGGATCTAAGATGCAAGGGCCTAGGGTCTATCATTACTGCAAGGGGACAACTCAGAGAATTAGTCATCTATAGCTTCCCTAGATTCTTTGCTGGATGGGATCCTCATCCCAGGAAGGCGCAGCTGCATGATGGAGGAGAAGTGCAGGATCTGCAACAGCTTGTTTCCCCACTAAGTTCATCCAAATTGCAGAAGCTTTGTTTTGAGTGGGCCACGGGACTCCTTGTTGCGCCCATCTGCAGATTCCTGTCTTCCTCCCTAACCTGCTTGTTCCTTTATGGGGAGAAAAAGATGGAGCGCTTTACCAATGAGCAAGAGGTCGCCCTTCACCTCCTCACCTCCCTCCAAGAACTCGAGTTTCGGTTTTTCGAAAAGCTTCAGAGCCTCCCTGCAGGGCTGCACAAGCTTCCCAGTCTCAAGAAATTACAGCTCTCTTCATGTCCAGCCGTCCGGTCGCTGCCCAAGGATGGCGTCCCCAAATCACTACAAGAATTAGATGTCGGTTGGTGCAAAAACAAGGAGCTAAGACAAGAGTGCAGGGTGTTAGTGGGAACCATCCCAAAAATCAAAGTGCATCCTTTGGACTGACGGTAACGACAACTACTTCCTTGTTTTACCCTTGTGTTTCTTTCATGCATGATAATCTAACAAGTGTTTGTTTCCATCTACTATGCAGGCCTCTTCCTTGGAGACCTCTTGCACATTCCTCAAGCCTGGTAGAGCTCAAGTCTCACCAAATGAATGAGGGTCTTCCCTTCCTGTACAAAAATTTTGTAAGTATATCTGATTTGGAACATTGTTCCTGCTGTACCATACCAATTATTTCTCCACTCCCCTTGTCTTGTTACTCACATGTTGAGAAAACCGATGTGATTATCAGCTAATGTCTTTTGGAGGTTTCTTCATTTTTCTTCCTGCATGAGAATCATGAAATCAGTCATGCATTGACCATCTATTTTGGTTTTCTATGCATGTATTCTTATGTTCAGTTTCATGTTCTTCTACATACTCTGCTACAGTACTGATATTATGGCCATCTTCATTACTCCTCAAACACTCGTGCTACAATATTGTATGTCCATCTTCCTCCCTATTTATAAATGCGGTTAGTACATCATTGTAACAACTTCCACTTATACTTGTGCTATATCATGTTTCTATTTTTCTTCCCAAGGAAGTGAAAAAAAGGTTCGTCTAGTCAAGAGCAGTTTTAACATGCTCCCACTTGATACGTCTCCAACGTATCTATAATTTTTGATTGCTCCATGCTACTTTATCTACTGTTTTGGACTATAGTGGGCTTTATTTTCCACTTTTATATTATTTTTGGGACTAACCTATTAACCAGAGGCCCAGCCCAGAATTGCTGTTTTTTTTGCCTATTTCAGTGTTTCGAGGAAACGGAATATCAAACGGAGTCCAAATGGAATAAAACCTTCGGGAACGTGATTTTCTCACCGAACGTGATCCAGGAGACTTGGACCCTACTCCAAGAAGCTTCCGAGGAGGTCACGAGGGTGGAGGGTGCGCCCCCTCCTGGGTGCGCCCTCCTACCTCGTGAGCCCCTCGGAGCTCCATCGACGTACTCCTTCCTCCTATATATACCTACGTATCCCCAATAGACCATACACGGAGCCAAAAACCTAATTCCACCGCCGCAACCTTCTGTATCCACGAGATCCCATCTTGGGGCCTGTTCCGGAGCTCCGCCGGAGGGGGCATCCACCACGGAGGGCTTCTACATCATCACCATAGCCCCTCCGATGAAGTGTGAGTAGTTTACTTCAGACCTTCGGGTCCATAGCTAGTATCTAGATGGCTTCTTCTCTCTTTTTGGATCTCAATACAATGTTCTCCCCCTCTCTCGTGGAGATCTATTCGATGTAATCTTCTTTTTGCGGTCTGTTTGTTGAGACCGATGAATTGTGGGTTTATGATCCAACTTATCTATGAATAATATTTGAATCTTCTCTAAATTCTTTTATGTATGATTGAGTTATCTTTGCAAGTCTCTTCGAATTATCAGTTTGGTTTGGCCAACTAGATTGGTAGTTCTTGCAATGGGAGAAGTGCATGGCTTTGGGTTGAATCTTGCGGTGTCCTTACTCAGTGACAGAAAGAGTTGCAAGACATGTATTGTATTGTTGCCATCGAGGATAACAAGATGGGGTATTTATCATATTGCATGAATTTATTCCTCTACATCATGTCATCTTGCTTAAGGCATTACTCTGTTTTTTAGTTAATACTCTAGATGCATGCTGGATAGCGGTCGATGAGTGGAGTAATAGTAGTAGATGCAGAATCGTTTCGATCGACTTGTCTCGGACGTGATGCCTATATACATGATCATACCTAGATAACCTCATAACTATGCTCAATTCTATCAATTGCTCAACAGTAATTTGTTCACCCACCGTAGAATACTTATGCTCTTGAGAGAAGCCACTAGTGAAACCTATGGCCCCCGGGTCTATTCTCATCATATCAATCTCCATCACTTTATTTACTTGCTTTGCCTTTTACTTTTTACTTTGCATCTTGATACCAAAAATACCAAAAATATTATCTCTATCAGATCTCACTCTCGTAAGTGACTGTGAAGGGATTGACAACCTCTAAGTGTTGGTTGCGATTTGCTATCGTTTTGTGCAGGTACGAGGGACTTGCGCGTGACCTCCTACTGTATTGATACCTTGGTTCTCAAAAACTGAGGGAAATACTTACGCTACTGTGCTGCATCACCACCACCTCTTCGGGGAAAACCAACGCAAGCTCGAGACGTAGCAAGAAGGATTCTTGGCGCCATTGCCGGGGAGGCTTACTCAAAAGTCAACATACCAAGTACCCATCACAATCCCTATCTCTCGCATTACATTTTTTGCCATTTGCCTCTCGTTTTCCTCTCCCCCACTTCACCCTTGCCGTTTTATTCGCGCTTCTTCCGTTCGATCTTATGTTTGCTTGTACCTTATTTTTGCTTGCATCTTCGCTCGCTAAAAGTCCATGGATCTTGATCTGCTTGCCAATCTTTTTAAGGGATCCAATTATGATGAACCAATTCCTAGTAATTTGGATGCACTAGATTATCTTTATAAGGTTTTGCCTAAAATCCGTGAAGTGACTCACAATAGATCTTTGAATAAAAAGCATGATTGGAATGATTTTATTATAAAATCTTTTGTTGTCAATTGTGCTAATAAGATGCAAAACCTTAAGCTTGGGGATGCTAGTTTTGCTATGTCCTGTACTTGTTGCAATGATCATGATTGGGGTGATTCTTCTTATGATCTTGAAAATTTATTTAATACCCATGATGAATATGAGATTGATAATAGTGTTTGCAATAATATTGAAGGTGGGTTTGGAAGAGTGTCAACTTTAGATCCCACATATTTGGATAATTTTCAATCTTATGAAGTTTTTGATAAAAGTGGGTTTGAAGAGGTCATGACTTTAGTTAATATTAATCCCACTATTTTGGAAGAGTGTCAACTTTGCAAACATGTGGATCGTGTTAAGAATATGTTTTGTGATAGCTATATTATTGAATTTGCTTATGATCCTACATGTAATTATTATGAGAGAGGAAAATATGGTTGTAGAAGTTTTCATGTTACTAAATTACCTCTCTTCATGTTGAGATTGCTATCATCTCTTTGTTCTTCCTTGCATATGCCAGTTTTTGCTTGCCTTGATAATTTGTTTGCTTACAAGATGCCTATGCATAGGAAGTATGCTAGACTTAAGTGTGTTTGTCACATGTTTTATGATGCTCTCTTTGTGCTTCAATTCCTATCTTTCATGTGAGCATCATCATAATCTCAAGGCCTAGCTAGGGGCGTTAAACGATAGCGCTTGTTGGGAGGCAAACTAATTTTATTTTGTTTTTTTTGTTTTTGCTTCTATTTAGGAATAAATAATCCATCTACCTTATGTTTGGATGTGGTTTTATGTTTTAATTAGTGTTTGTGCCAAGTAGGACCTATAGGATAACCTACGATGATAGTTGATTTGATTCTGCTGAAAAACAGAAACTTTAGCGCTCACGAGATTATCTGTCATTTTTTACTGGTGAGTGATTTTGCGTTGATTCTTTTTGCTACTGATCAATAAACAAATTTTCCAGGACATCCTATTTTGGTAGAATTTTTAGAGTTCCAGAAGTTTGCGTTAGTTACAGATTACTACAGACTGTTCTGTTTTTGACAGATTCTGTTTTTCGTGTGTTGTTTGCTTATTTTGATGAATCTATGGCTAGTAAATTAGTTTATAAACCATAGAGAAGTTGGAATACAGTAGGTTTAACACCAATATAAATAAAGAATGAGTTCATTACAGTACCTTGAATTAGTCTTTTGTTTTCTTTCTCTAACGGAGCTCACGAGATTTCTGTTGAGTTTTGTGTTGTGAAGTTTTCAAGTTTTGGGTGAATTCTTTTGATGGATTATGGAACAAGGATTGGCAAGAGCCTAAGCTTGGGGATGCCCATGGCACCCCCAAGATAATCCAAGGACACCAAAAAGTCAAAGCTTGGGGATGCCCCGGAAGGCATCCACTCTTTCGTCCACTTCCATCGGTAATTTACTTGGAGCTATATTTTTATTCACCAACATGATATGTGTTTTGCTTGGAGCGTCTTGTATTATTTGTGTCTTTGCTTATTAGTCTACCACAATAATCCTTGCTGTACACACCTTTTAAGAGAGCCAAACATGATTTGGAATTTGTTAGAATACTCTATGTGCTTCACTTATATCTTTTGAGCTTGATAGTTTTGCAAATAGTGCTTCACTTATATCTTTTTGAGCGTGATAATTTTTGCTCTAGTGTTTCACTTAGATCTTTTAGAGCACGGTGGTGGATTTGTTTTAAAGAAACTTGATCTCTCATACTTCACTTAGATTATTTTGAGAGTCATTAATAGCATGGTAATTTGCTTAATGTTAATATACTTAGTGTTCAAAGTATGTGAAACTTACTTTTGAGTGAATTGAATACTAAGATAAATTTAATGCTTAATAATTGTTTTGAGATATGGAGGTAATAATATCAAAGTCGTTCTAGTTGAGTAGTTGTGAATTTGAGAAATACTTGTGTTGAAGTTTGTAAGTCCCGTAGCATGCACGTATGGGTAAAGTTGTGTAACAAATTTGAAGCATGAAGTGTACCTGGCTTGTGCATCCTTATAAGTGGCGGTCGAGGACGAGCGATGGTCTTTTCCTACCAATTTATCCCCCTAGGGGCATGCGTAGTAGTACTTTGCTTCGAGGGCTAATAAACTTTTGCAATAAGTATATGAGTTCTTTATGACTAATGTAAGTCCATGGATTAACGCACTTTTACCTTTCTGCATTTGCTAGCCTATTCGGTACCGTGCATCGTCCTTTCTCACATTGAGAGTTGGTGCAAACTTCGCCGGTGCATCCAAACCCCGTGATATGATACGCTCTTTCACACATAAACCTCCTTATATCTTTCTCAAAACAGCCACCATACCTACGTATTATGGCATTTCCATAGCCATCCCGAGATATATTGCCATGCAACTTTCCACCGTTCCGTTCATCATGACATACTTTACTCTTGTCATATTGCCATTGCATGATCATGTAGTTGACATCGTATTTGTGGCAAAGCCACCACGCATTATTTTTCATACATGCCACTCTTGATTAATTGCACCATCCCGGTACACCGCCGGAGGCATTCATATAGAGTCATATCTTGTTCTAGTTTCGAGTTGTAATATCAAGTTGCTGTAATGAAAGTGTGATGATCATCATTATTAGAGCATTGCCCCAGTGAGGAAAAGGATGATGGAGACTATGATTCCCCCACAAGTCGGGATGAGACTCCGGACGAAAATAAAAAAAATAAAAAAAATAAAAAAAGAGAGAAGAAAAAAAGAGGCCATAAAAAAAGGAGAAAAGGCCCAAATAAAAAAATGAGAGAAAAAGAGATAAGGGGCAATGTTACTATCCTTTTACCACACTTGTGCTTCAAAGTAGCACCTTGTTCTTCATGTAGTGAGTCTCATATATTTGTGCTTCAAAGTAGCACCTTGTTCTTCATGTAGTGAGTCTCATATATTAGTGCTTCAAAATAGCACCATGTTTTTCATATAGTAAGCCTCATAAATTATCTTGTTCATACTAGTGGGAATTTTTCATTATAGAACTTGGCTTGTATATTCCAATGATGGGCTTCCTCAAAATGCCCTAGGTCTTCGTGAGCAAGCGAGTTGGATGCACACCCACTAGTTTTTTTTTGTTGAGCATTCACAGCTCTAGTGCATTCGTTGCATGGCAATCCCTACTCCTCATGTTGACATCAATTGATGGGCATCTCCATAGCCCGTTGATTGTCCTCGTCAATATGAGACTTTCTCCTTTTTTGTCTTCTCCACACAATCCCATCATCATATTCTATTCCACCTATAGTGCTATATCCATGGCTTGCGCTCATATATTGCGTGAGGGTTGAAAAAGCTGAACCGCGTTAAAAAGTATGAAACAATTGCTTGGCTTGTCATCGGGGGTATATAAGTTGGGAACATCTTTGTGTGACGAAAATGAAGCATGGCCTAACTATATGATTTTGTAGGATGAACTTTCTTTGGCCATGTTATTTTGAGATGACATAATTGCTTGATTAGTATGCTTGAAGTATTATTATTTTTATGTCAATATGAACTTTTATCTTGAATCTTTCGGATCTGAATATTCATACCATGATTAAGAAGATTTACATTGAAATTATACCAAAGTCTCACTCCGCATCAAAAATTCTTCTTTTTATCATTTACCTACTCGAGGACGAGTAGGAATTAAGCTTGGGGATGCCTGATACGTCTCCAACGTATCTATAATTTTTTATTGCTCCATGCTACTTTATCTACTGTTTTGGACTATATTGGGCTTTATTTTCCACTTTTATATTATTTTTGGGACTAACCTATTAACCGGAGGCCCAGTCCAGAATTGCTGTTTTTTGCCTATTTCAGTGTTTCGAGGAAACAGAATATCAAACGGAGTCCAAACGGAGTGAAACCTTCGGGAACGTGATTTTCTCGCCGAACGTGATCCAGGAGACTTCGACCCTACTCCAAGAAGCTTCCGAGGAGGTCACGAGGGTGGAGGGTGCCCCCTGGGCGTGCCCCCTACCTCGTGGGCCCCTCGGAGCTCCACCGACGTACTCCTTCCTCCTATATATACCTACATATCCCCAGTAGACCAGACACGGAGCCAAAAACCTAATTCCACCGCCGCAACCTTCTGTATCCACGAGATCCCATCTTGGGGCCTGTTCCGGAGCTCGCCGGAGGGGGCATCCACCATGGAGGGCTTCTACATCATCACCATAGCCCCTCCGATGAAGTGTGAGTAGTTTACTTCAGACCTTTGGGTCCATAGCTAGTAGCTAGATGGCTTCTTCTCTATTTTTGGGTCTCAATACAATGTTTTCCCCCTCTCTCATGGAGATCTATTCGATGTAATCTTCTTTTTGCGGTGTGTTTGTTGAGACCGATGAATTGTGGGTTTATGATCCAACTTATCTATGAATAATATTTGAATCTTCTCTGAATTCTTTTATGTATGATTGAGTTATCTTTGCAAGTCTCTTCGAATTATCTGTTTGGTTTGGCCAACTAGATTGGTAGTTCTTGCAATGGGAGAAGTGCATGGCTTTGGGGTCAATCTTGCGGTGTCCTTACTCAGTGACAGAAAGAGTTGCAAGGCATGTATTGTATTGTTGCCATCGAGGATAACAAGATGGGGTATTTATCATATTGCATGAATTTATTCCTCTACATCATGTCATCTTGCTTAAGGCGTTACTCTGTTTCTAACTTAACACTCTAGATGCATGCTGGATAGCGGTCGATGAGTGGAGTAATAGTAGTAGATGCAGAATCGTTTCGATCTACTTGTCTCGGACGTGATGCCTATATACATGATCATACCTAGATAACCTCATAACTATGCTCAATTCTATCAATTGCTCAACAGTAATTTGTTCACCCACCGTAGAATACTTATGCTCTTGAGAGAAGCCACTAGTGAAACCTATGGCCCCCGGGTCTATTCTCATCATATCAGTCTCCATCACTTTATTTACTTGCTTTGCCTTTTACTTTTTACTTTGCATCTTTATACCAAAAATACCAAAAATATTATCTCTATCAGATCTCACTCTCGTAAGTGACCGTGAAGGGATTGACAACCCCTAAGCGTTGGTTGCGAGTTGCTATCGTTTTGTGCAGGTACGAGGGACTTGCGCGTGACCTCCTACTGGATTGATACCTTGGTTCTCAAAAACTGAGGGAAATACTTACGCTACTGTGCTGCATCACCCCCTCCTCTTCGGGGAAAACCAACGCAAGCTCGAGACGTAGCAAGAAGGATTTCTGGCGC